GAATTCACAGAAGATTTTAATAATCTTCGAGTCTGAAGTTCTTATAAAATATACACCTTTCGTAGGCATTCCGGGTTCCTTCCGAACAGCAACATCTTTACAAGACGAATATATTTTTTTCGTTTCGCAAACTTTGCCATGAAATTTATAATTACAGCTGCAAGTGAACTTTTCCTTTGGTGAATCGCAGTGCTCTATGCATGTTCCTCCATTCAAACAAGGCTGAGATCGACAACAGCCATTATAGCACTGAACACCTGGTGGCATCAAGTACGAAGACTATAAAGCAATCGAAAAATTACTGAAAACTGCAGATAATGATTATATTGATTTTAAAACCATTTGGGGAACTATTCAAAAAAGATTTTGTGCAATACTTACAGCATTGTACATTGTCTGCTTGAGATCAAAGTACACGTATCCTGGTTCATCTACAAAGTTATTAACCTTGGAAGTCTTGTCCTCATCCAGCAACTCACATCTTGCATCTTTCATCTGACACGCCTTACAACGACAATCTTGGACACAAGATGAGTAGCACTTGACTGGATCATTAGTGGTGATGTTGTTGTAAGAGTATCCCTTGAGATGTTTTCCATGGAAGATGTCTTGAGGCTCTGGGAAAAGTCTACCAGAATAGCAGGTGCCAACGCAATGAGATTGACAGAGGATTTTTGGAATAAACAAGCACATAAAGAAGAAGACCACATCGACGACCATCATGAATCCCTTCAACTATACCTACAGTTGTAGATCAAAGAAAGTTTCTTGCTTGTCTTAAATTAATTAAGTTATTCCTTAATTTTGTGGTCATTTTAAGTTGCCTATTAATCGAAATGAATTTGTAAAATCGAGAGACAAAAATGAGCGAATAAAAGAATAGAGTACAAACATTAAATGTGTGCAATACTTTCCACTAAATTACAGAAATTTACTGTGCCCACATTCGTGCTTACYTCAACACCGTGCATTTTGACTGAATAGTTCAAATTTTGATTATTTGGCTATAGTTGTCTCTTCAATACACTAGTAATAATAGTTCTTATTGGAAGATTACTTCTGAASATTTTGTATTGATTAAGAATCCAAAAGATT